TTGCGTGGTCTATTAACATGTGTTGTGCTTGTTAATAGTTTTGTGATGGTTTTGGTTCTGAACTCGAGGACTGATTGGTAGAGTTCAGTCCATCGTGAATTGGGTTTGCATGGTAAGCTTGGTCCGAAAGGGAACTTTGGTTCTCATCTATTACTTGTATGATCGGCATGATGTACTTGTAATGGTCCGGCGATGATGAGTCTCCTCACAACGTTGTATTGCTACTCTACACCACTTAGGGCCAATAAGGTGAAGAATGTTGGTGGTATTGGTCCTACCAAGGCTTCCCTTCCACTTTATTATTGACTTGCACCCCATGTTTACTCCCATTTTGATACCTCTTGTTTTGAATCTCTCCTAACCAATAATATGGCCATTTTGCCTTATGTTGAGTGACCCTTTTGAGCTGTCCGTTGCAGTCCTCCTTGTCTCTGCATCACCCGTAAGTGTCCTTTGTGTTGGCCAGCCTATTATTTAGCTATCTCCTTTCTTCCTTGTTTGAGCAGCCTGCGTGTGAGATATTCCAAGAGTGAGAGCAGTCATCTACCCTTTCTCCTTCCTTTGTGTGTGAGTTGAGAGAGGTACTTAGTGGTTGGAGATAAAACATGGTGAGTTGTGTTGTGGTCTAGTCTAGAGTGGTGTGTGTGAGTACAACAAAAGGGTTGGAGACCTGAGCCGGAAGAAGAATCGATCCTCAACAATAACATTTTAACACATAACAAATAATACAGTAGTTAATAGTCAACTTACTAGATACTTAATACTTAAAGAAATTGAGAAAGTTGTCCGTCGTTCTCCACTTCCCTGCTACAAGATACTCCGTATGAAGTATACGGCATTACGTTAGAGGCATGGGTTAATGGGGGCATTTAGTTTTTTTTATTGGGGCATAAATATGGACTGAATATTTTCCTATTCTAATATAGGAGATAATTGGCAGTTTATTGGCGAATGAAACTCGTGAAGAATGAAATTCGTAACAAAATAAAAGATAATTTTCTTGTTGATCGTTTGACCATCTTTATTGAAAAGGAATTTGCCAACAAAATCGACGTTGAATTTGTCATAGATGAGTTTGCAAAGGTTAAAGAGCGTCGTGTTCAGTTAACGTTTTAGTTTCAAACATGAAAATGAAAATGCACTAGGAAGACATTCCCGGACTACATCATATGCAGATTTAAAAGAGAATCCTCCATCCTCCTCCAGATCCCAATTACATTCTCATCACTATTAACCTCACACAAGAACATCCCAATAGAGTGAACTGAACAGATCCTTCTCCAAATAGGAGAGTCAGTGATCTTTGGAATCATGTTAGAGCCTCTAAGATACCTAGCTTTGAATCCCTTTGACAAAATAAGTCCATAGAGAATTACAATTTTTCCATTTCCACTAAAGTTTTAGAGAGAAGGCATTTCCTATATCAGTGAGGACTCTGATTCCCAATCCACCTTCATCAGTAGGTTTACAAAGCTGGGACCACTTAATCTAGTGATATTTAACTTTGTTATTTTAGGATCCCAAAAGAAAGATGCCATCTTTCTTTCTAAAATACTAATGGTTTTCTGATCTTTGGCAGAGTATCAACGCTGATAGGAGATGCAAAAGGATAACACTGAGCACATGCTGGATCAACACCAATCTACCACCTCAAACGGATTGATGATCTCCATATAGTAATTGTACTTGTTTATACCTTTGTGCGGGTTCACACCTAAATACTTGACTGGAAATTCAGACCTCTTCATTTTAAGAATTCTTTCCATAGTGTATACGAGCTCCCACAAACTTCCCACAGAAAGAATAGCTTTTGTTGAGGTTTACAGTCTGGCCGAGAGCAGTTTGGTAAGCCTTTAAAAAACTATTAAAGTTATTTAATGACCTGGAATCCCCGTTCAGAAAAATTAGCAGATCATCGAAAAAACCCAAATGTGACAAATTAAAGGATATCCTTGGCTCCCTATCCAAAATGGTTTAATATCATCCCTCTAAATATGACACTTAAGCCCTCTAGAGAAAACTTCAGATGCTAATATAAATAAAAATGGAGACAAAGGATCTTCCTCCTTGACCCCCCTTTTAGACTTGTGTTAAATGGTTAGTTTGTTAGATATTTAGTTAGTTAGTTCTAACATGGAAAGTTCCCGAAATAGGACTAAACCAGTTTGAAAATTCCAAAATAGGACTATCATGTTTTTTATTCCCAAAATAGGAGTAATTACTGTCATGTTTGATAAATACTGCAATGTTTGAAGTCTGGTACTGCTAAAAACATGGTAGTAATTAGTCCTATTTTGGGAATAAAAACATGACAGTAGGGGTGGGTTCGGTTCAAACTGTTGGTTTTTACCTAAAACCAAATGTCAAACCAAATTAAAAAGTTTGGTTCGGTTTGGTTTGGTTTTATGTTCAAAAATTTGGAACCACGGTTTGTTCGGTTCGGTTTATTTCGGTTTAGTTTCGGTTTTTTCGGTTTTTACTAAAGTATTTTTGTTCATTAGAAAATTAGTAATTGAAAAAAAAAACAAAAAAAAAATAAACTACATCAAACTATCATTAATAGTGATACAATACAAAAACATACATAATTAAAAAAGAGATAAGAAACAATTGCACTTCCAAAGAAGGAATTAGAGAGTATGTGTATACCAATTTAAGCATTTTCTAAATTAATTAAACGCAAAATTTTATTTGTGAATTATATAAAGTATATTCGCAAGTTAAAATTTTATTAGTAAATAACTAATTCTACTTTCTTTTTATACAAAGATATTCATGCTCTAAAGTGTCACGTTTTCTACTATGTTGTTTAAAGTATAGTTTATATTAAGGAAAAATTGATAGTAATGATCCCAACTATTGGCGGTCCGCTCATAATAATCCCAACTATTGATTATTACAGAATAATCCCAACTTTAGGGACCTTCCGCCAATAATGGTCCCTATGAATAAATTCTTGTAGTTTCTAAAGTGGATGAGATGAGATATAACAAGTAATTCCTATAAATAATCTCAACTTTTAATTTTTACGCTTAATTTCTATTTAAAATTCACTTTTTATAGAGGTAATATATGGTCATGGACCATTATTGGCGGATAGTCTATATAGTTGGGATTATACAAAAATAATCAATAGTTGGGATTATTTTCAGCGGAACAGCAATAGTTGGGATTATTATTTTCAATTTTTCCTTATATTAATACATATTTTTTCAATATAAAATTTATGTGATAACAAACATACATAACATTTAATATATCAACAAAACATTTAGTATATGATTTAAAATATCAATATATTAGTATTATAGCAATAGATTTAACTAATTTAAGTGTATGTGCAAGTGTTTCACTTAATGAAATCATAAATATTAAATGTCAATATCTTGCAAATCATTATAAATCAATCTAGTATATATTAAACATTAATTTTCTATAATTAATCTTTCTATGATTAATAAATAAAATAACAAGTTTTAAAAAGTTCGGTTTATTCGGTTCGGTTCGGTTTTGAGATGTGAAAACCAAAACCGAAACCAAACAACTACGGTTCGGTTCGGTTTTTTGAGTTCGGTTTCGGTTTTCTTGCGGTTCGGTTGTTTTAGTTGTGGTTCGGGTTATTTCGAAAATAGTTCATGTGTGCACCCCATTTGATTGAAAAATTAATATTTGTATTCTCAAATGTTACTAGTAAATGTTCCTACAAATGGGGTGCACACATGAACTGGGCATGTTTTGATGTAACATCTATAAATAGATACTTGATGTAATAAACTAAACAAATGCTACTAGTAACATTTTGAGTAATTATGCCCAACCATTCTCTAGCAGATTATGTTCTGTATGTTGCTCTTCTTGTTATCTTGCTCAAATAGTACCCCACCTCTATCATATCTAAAACAATATTCAATCAAACTCAGATTCTTTTCCATATACTCTTTCTACTTTTCTGAACCACTTAAATATTTGATCCACTTAAATGCATACCTAATTCCTAAAATAAGCATCCTCGGCTCTTAAATTATTCCAACTTTATTCTTACTTTATCAATTCAATATCAACCGCATAAGCTTACTTTTTTTAATAACCGCACCACCTCCTTTAAAGTCTCAATGTTAGTGGGACGAAGGTAGTACTAGCCTAACATTTTCAACATTGAAGTGGCGAATAGTACCCAATGGATGAAAACACAGATGGTGATAAATTTAGGTTTTGATACTTTAGGTATTTTATTTGAAATTTAAAGGCAAAGGACATTTTGATTTTGCATTTCATATTTGAGTGAAAAATTGGCACCTCATTTTCAAAATAGTTCATGTGTGCACCCCATTTGATTGAAAAATTAATATTTGTATTCTCTTGCTTTTCAAATATTGGCCTTTTTATTCAAATATTACTATCAATTAACAGAATTCCAATAAAGTGAATAAGGTTTCAAAAATCCAAAAATATGACTAGATCTCTTATACATCAATCCGTTGCACACCAAGGAACAAGCAGGTATAACAAAAAAGGCCACAACAAGGAACAAACAGGTATAACTAAAAAATTTAATATTAAAACTAGGATATAAATTTTCTGGCCATCCACAACACCCATCATTGTTATCACCGGCGCCACCACCAGTCTTGCCGCGCCGTTGCTCGGTGACTTGCTCCGGCCATAATGACTGCCGCTCAGTGACTTGCTCCGGTCATAGTGACCACCGCTCAGTGACTTGTTCCGGCCATAATGACCGCCGCTCAGTTACTTGCTCCGGCCCCAGTGACTGCCCACCCACCGCCCAACGGCCACTGCCCTGCCCACAGTGTCACCGCCATAGTGACATGCCGTCTCCGGTGCACAGCCCAACCCTCCCATGCTTCTCACAGCCCCCTCATCCCAGCTTGACTCCCCAGCCCCAGCTCTAGATACCCTCCCTCAGCCCTAACCTCCAGCCCCCTCTCCCGCCCCACCACAACTTCCCCAAGACCATGCCCAGACCTTCCTTTCCAGAAGCACAGCCAAGTCTGCCACTGCCGCCCACCATTTCCCCCTCCCTTGTTTCAGCCGGCCAGGCCCACCACGTCTGCCGGCGTTTCTCCCTCTCCCACCTTTGTCCGCCTCTAAACCTAGCCGTCGCCATAGCCGAATGCTAGCCTCAGATCTGAAAAATTAAAGGTGGCGCCGCAGATCTGAATACGTAGGCGAAGGCAGCGCAGATTTCAATATGTAGCTTCGTCCCTTATCGTGCTTCTGCAGCACCGAATTGATGAAGATGAAAGATGATGAAATGACGGTGAGAGGCGACAACGACGGTACAAGGCGACGGCGCAAGGCGTAGGAGACGACGACCGCCACAACTGGGAGGCTCCTACGGTCGATGTGGTTAGGAGGCTCTGGCGAAAGGCTCCTTGGCTTTAGCGATGCAAGGATAGTAGAGAGAAAGGGGTTTGGTGGGAGCTCTTTGGACGGAAGAGATAAATGGATGGGTCATAGGAGTTGTTCGATCGCAGGAGAGAAGCGGATGTGTGACTTTTTTGTCAATTTTCAAAATGGTCATATTATTAGAAATTAAAACTCAATTAGTGATATCCGTGCCATTCTTTCTCAAATATTTGAACCGATAGGATGTGTGCATATAATTTCTTAAAACACGTACAAAGCATTATTTTGTCTGAAATGTGGATGCAAAGTTAAATACCTTTCTAAGAAAACAGTCATTATATTGTAGCCACAACTCACAATATGGTCTATGAGAGACAATATATCTCAATTTGGAAACTACAACTCTCATCATTTGCAATTGGATCTTTCTTCAATATATCTTATACTACGTATAAAGTACTAAAAAAAACTACCTCACTTTATTATATAGATATCATGTTACCTTTGTGCAGCATGACCATTTAGTGTTGAAGAACCTCGCATACTTTGATGTTAATCTAGCTACATACCTACGAAGACATTCGTGATTTCATTTAACTTGATAGTAGTAGTAACGATTTTCTTATCTTAATAATAATATACTGAAATTATTGTGACTTTCCGTCAGAGTCTACGGTGTCGAAAATGTGCAACTCAGCAGTGTCGTCGTTGAAGCAATCAAATCCAAAATTATTGATCCCGAAGTCCTGACAGTTTAACAGCCAATCCAAGTCATTGTCAACCAAAGTTGGGATATTAAGATCATCAAAGTCAAAGATTAATGACGGCTGGTCAACAGTAGGTGATGGGATGTCCCGCAATGCTTCTAGTGGAATTGTTGCATGGTTTTCGAGTAAGGAGCTGAGCAGGGGATCGTCTTCATCACCCATGATATCTATGATCAGATGGGATTCATCAGTGGTGGTAATGGAGGAAGAGCAGTTTTCAGTTGGTGAGCATGAAGAGCTCTGCTCTTCTGAGGTCCCGTCTATGGGGGATGAACTATGAGGAACAACTTCTACCTGATGTTCACCGCATCTTTTCTCAGAGTCTGGCGAAGAGGTTGCCGGTTTATTTGTGGTTATTGATGATTGATTGTCACTTGTTGTCTTTGGGTAGTTGTAGATAGGTTCATGTGTAACAGGATCTATTCCCATCTTAAGAAGTTTTTTCTTAATGTGGGTGTTCCAGTGATTTTTAATCTCATTATCTGTCCTTCCTGGTAATCTTGAAGCAATCTTCGACCATCTGATAATATAAAATAAAAGACTCGATTAATACATTTATTCACAAACCTCTAATATACACTTGGAGGACACTTGGTATGCAATGTCCTTCATTGATTTTTTAAGACACGTACTCCCACAACCCAGTTTCAAAGTTTTTATTTATTATACTTCATCTGTCCTTATTTAAACTTCCTAATTTGAGTACCACACATGTTAAGAAAATGCAATATTTCAAATATTGCATTTTCTATATTTTCGAATATAAAAATGTTGAAAATATTTCTTGAAATTTTTGACATTCTGAAAATTTTGAAAATATAAAAACTATTTCATATTTTCAAAATATTGACTTTGACATTTTGAAAATTTTCGTATTTCTTCAAATGTAAACAATTCTTAAGGTTTTTTAATATAAAAAATCTACTATTATAGGTCAAAAACTTAAAAAATGGCCAAATTGATCAACTTTTTAAAGTAAACGTACTTTTATGATACCTTAGTATAAGGGCTTAAGTGATGGATTGAAAATACTAGAAGGACTTATTTGACCCTTTTCCCTAGATATTATTTACCTATATTTTTGGAAAAACCAATATAATTTGTATATATGTATCTTGAACGCAATATTAAGATTGAATATTTTTTTTTTTTTGGAACAGATTAAATATTTTAATTGAATTTAAACTGTTGGTGATTTCGGAGCCTAATTTTGTGTATTTATTTGTGATATATTTTTAAATAATTTTATTTGAAAATATGTTTTAAAATATAAAAGACAATGTCATAAATCATAATTCCTCGTCTGGACTTTACTTGGCCCTACCTGAACCCGAACTGAACCCGACTCCATAAAACCCAACTCAGAGCAAATAGAATGAGCTTGTCCCGGTTCCTTATTGTCATGATGCGAGATCTTCCGTGTAATTTTTTGATTTACCTAAAATCCGACCCAAACCGGATTGATCCCATCCCTACTTAATTACAGTTTGGGACGGTCTTGTACTACTTACAAAGAGAACTTTCCCAAGTCCCAAACTCCCAATTGATCACGTTGTTTAAAAATTTATTGACACTAATCGCCAAGTGTGTAGGCAAAAGTAAAAGTTGGTCCGGGCAGGTAAAAAAAATTTAGGGCCCGTTTGTTATGATTTAAAGTAATCACTTTGCGTGTAAAGTAGTGTGGGGATGCAAACATTTTACACCGTTTGTTTTAACTATTTAATGTAAACTGTATGACATTTTCTTTAAAACATTTTATACTGTACCATGTAAACTATTTTACGTGGAGTAAACTAGTTTACCTCCCTTTGGTTGGAGAATAAATATCCGAGCATTCAATTCAACTTCTGTAGACGGCTAGACTATAATGAGAATAGAGAAACAATAATGAGTGTAGTAGCTAAGCACTCAAGACAAGGGGCGGATCTACCTTAAGGTGAGGGAGGGCCTATGCCCCACCTCAAAAAAATATACTTCCTCCGTTCTTAAATAAGTGCAACGGTCAACATTTCACATTTGCCGAGACACAACTTTGACCATTAATATATATAACTCTCTATTAATAAAAAAATTAAAAAAAATCAGATTTTGAAAATATACAATGAGACAAATTTAGTAATATTTTTTCAAAAAAACATCTCAATACATCAATGAATAAAATGTAGTCAAAGTAGAACATGTGAATAGTGTAAAATTTTGTATGTTGCACTTATTTAAGAACGGAGGTAGTATAGTATATATATACACACTAATACTTCGTATATACTATTGTTCAACAATAGTATAATTATTAGAAATGTCTAAGTGTTTGCAAAATGAGGGATGATGGGATGGAAGTACATTGAACATGTTAGCATGCTGAAATTTTGAGCAACCCGAGTCCCAATCTCATTGGGAGCTAGATGCCTTTAAATTTTGCAATGGAGAGCAAATTGTGTTTTAAAATTTCAATTTTTTTTTTCCTCAAACCTCTTTATCCCACACCAGACAAAGAGAACTACTTTTCCTTCATAGGAGTACATATCTATTTAAAGTGGATCTCCAAGGATCAATTACTACAAACATAAACTCATTGAATGGGCTTCATTCTAATAAAATGGGCATGCTTTTTGATTTTGAGTATTAGCCTAAAGAATTAATTAGTTCAATGTTTTGGGCATGAGTGTTTTCATGTATTTTAGTTTGACAAAAATTCTTATTTTCATAATATTTGTTTACGTCTTTGACATATAATTATTTTTAAAAAATTTTACCTCACCTGAATGTCAATTCTAGATCCGCCCCTAGATTTAGTCTCAAGTAGCAACCATTCTACGTTTTTTTGTACAGAAGCTGTTTATACTTGAAAGTTGTGGAAAGAATTGGTGATAAGACAAAGAGCGAGACTGAAAAATATGAAGCAACCATGAACCGTGCAGAATAGTTTATATATATTTCACGTGTGTGTAGGGGTGTAAACGAGCCGAGCCGAGCCCGAACATACATAGGCTCGAGCTCGAGCTCGAAAATATTTTACATGCTCGAGTTCGGCTCGAACTCGAACGAGCTCAAATATTAATGCTCGAGTTCGGCTCGGTATATTTACCTATGCTCGAAATTAGCTCGAGTTCGGCTCGAAGCTACTCATCTAGGCTTCTAGCCAAAGGTTGCTTTGCTGCCTCCCGTAACTAATTAAGAGGAGATGGTCTTATTTATTGAGTCATGGTAAAGCTAGAGTCTTCTAAGTAATCGGTGTGGGATAAATGGGCTTCGATCCTGCATTGCAAATTTAACACCTGGGAGAACTTCACTCAACTAAAGATCCATATGATGATGACTTAGAGCATCTTCAATGGTACAATGTGTACGGTGCACACGTGGCATGAGAGATGACCACATAAATATTAGTAAATAAATTATTTCTCTCCTTATTTGAATGATTTTATACAGTTTTGGTAAGTTTTTCTGTACAATGTCAAGGAGACCGTCTAATGTTGACATTGTTGTTGACATTGCAGGGAAAAACTTACCAAAATTGTATAAAATCATTCAAATAAGGAGAGAAATAATTTATTTGCTAATAATTATGTGGCTATCACTCATGCCACATGTGCACCGTGGACATTATAGCATTGGAGATGCTCTTAGAACCTAAACATTGATTATACTTTATTTCATATGAGTTCTCGACTAACACTAACAATTCTTACGGTGTTATTTTATAATAATAATAATAATAATCACAATAATAATAAAATATATATACATATACATAAAAATTATATTATATATAAATACCAAAGCTCGCGAGCCGGCTCACGAGCCTCGAGCCTAAAATAAATAGGCTTGAATTAGGCTCGTTAAACACTCGAGCCGAGCCGAACTCGAGTCGAGCTTGAATATGACCGAACTCGAGTCGAGTTTTTACCGAGCGAGTCGCGAGCGGCTCGCGAACGGCTTGGCTCGTTTACACCCCTACGTGTGTGTATCAGTGTGTGTATGCCCTGTTCGGCTGTTTCTGCTACGTATGAGCTGTGTATTTATTTTAGATATAAACTTATTTATCAAACAATGTAAAAAGTTTACGTGTAATTTATAAATAGATTACACACATGGCCAAATTGTGTATTTCTATTTTACAAGCAAACTATTTTATGGCCCTAAACTTTACATGCAATCACTTTGCATGTAAAGTTTTAATGTGTAAACTACCAAACAGGCCCTCAGATAAATTTTTACACTAAGAGCTCGTTTGGTAACACTAAAATTAGCTGAATCGGATGATTCTGCAGAAAATTATGAAGTTCTAGCTAAAGTGACTGGATTGGCTGATTCTGTTGAATTATGAAAAAATTATATTGAAATAAAGAAAAAATAATATGAAACAAAAAGAAAGAGTGATATGAAAGTCGCTAAAATAGTCCTCTACAAGAACTTTAGGAAATTCAGCCATAAAAGCTGTAATGAACGGTCCGGAAGGGAAGAGTATCGAGCAGAAGCGGGAATAAGTTTAATTAATCTGGTCTGGGCCTATGGATGTCGGGCTGGGACTACTAGTTCTTTTGGACTTTTTTTAAAATATTGCAAAGAATAAATTGTAATCCATTATGGCTTATGTATTAGACACATACTTCGTATTTATATGATACGGAGAGTAATGAGTAGGATAATAAGAATTATCATATAATTTATCCCTCTCTCACTTTCTCTCCCAATCCTCTCTCTGACAATTCTGTTTTCTTTTCTAACCAACTCCATACAGTACGTCGAATCAGTACATTTGGTATCAGAGCACATCTGATCCAGGAAGATGACGGAGGGCACCAGACTCAAGGAATGCTTGGAAGGACAAAAACGGATGGAGCAAACTCTGTTAGCGGAAACCTTGAAAAGAGAAGCTGCTGAACAAAAAAACGAAGAAGTGCAAATGAGGAATCAGGAGATCCAGAATGAGATCATCAAACAACTTGAAGCAATACAGAAAAAACTCGAAGAAATAGAGATGAAAACGGATACCAGCCCGGAGAATTCCCATATTGGCCAAATCAATGATGATCATGGCAAGGATCCTGTAATAGAGGAGGTGTCAATACTGGGAGAACCACCCTTCAAGTTTAATCTGCATAATCTGTCAGTAGGTAAGAATATTCCAAAGTTTAAACATATGGAGCCAACGAGTAACTACTATTCCCATACCCCTCTACCGAAACTAGATTTTCCAAAATTTGATGGTACAAACTCCATATCATGGAGGGTAAAATGCAATGGTTATTTCAAACTGATGCCTCACATACCCATGAATCAAAGAGTTACACTGGCCACATTACACTTCGAGGGTAAGGCACTTTTGTGGTTTCAGCATTTAGACAGAGACATCACTACACTCACTTGGGATCAATTTATGGGAGTAGTGTCAGCTAGATTTGAAGGGCTCAGGGCATCCTCAGTTATTGAGGAGTTCAATAAGCTAAGGATGGGGGCAGATTATGAGACATATGTGGAAAAATTTGAAGAACTGAGATCCTGTATGCAAATGATACA